GAAAGAATACTTACCAAAGAAACAACATTGTTTGTGATAACACCTCCAAACAAACTTTTCACTGTATTTTTCTGTGAATGAATTAATAAATTCTGTCAAGGAAATTTGAGCAAATCCGTAAGTTTTCCAACTCCCTTTTGCTCCCTCTTAATCACTCACCAGTTCTGGAGACATTTCTTCTATTTTTGTTATTAGGTCAGTGAAGAATTCAGTCATATCTTTCTGCTCCCCAGTGTTCAGTGGCTGCTTATCCATGGTATAGGTTTTACAGAAAGGCCTTGGATTGTATGCCTTACATTCACTTTCCTTTCGGTAAAAAAATCAAGCAAAACAAATCAGCACAAATCCTTGTATTTTTAAGTTACACAGATACACCAAACATACATATACCCATGTCTGTTTAAAAAAGGACATACTTTTACACACAGTATCTCCATATGCCTATAAGGCAATAAAGTTGTGCAAGTGCTTAAATGCTTCTGATGAAATATAAAGCTGTTTTTAACTAACCAATTATTCATTATTAAAATATCATTCGTAAAATATTATTAAATAATATTTAACAAATAATAAAATGAATCATTAAAATAGAAGAACTTGGCTGAAGATCTGACACATCCAGTTTCTGCATACCTGTTCAGATACAAAATACAATATGAGGAACATCAGCCTGTACTTATGTATTTCTGGACATTACTGACTTAAATCTTGACAAGTACTTAATTCTCATTCAGACTTCTCTATGGTATAAAACTATACCATCTAGTTCTCCATTGCATATGTTCAGTCAGAGGAAAGAATTTGCAGTATAAAGCAATTCTTTAGAATACATCCCCCATTCCACTGCCTTGCGCACTGGGAATGCAGAACTTATTTACAGCAGAAGGAGCTTTGTTCTTGTAAACAATGATACATACTGTTTTCTTTTAAGGATGTGTGGCAAGACAGTGCTTCCTGCAAATATTACCTTTTTTTGGAATAAAGTCTTCCTCCAAGATTTTAATAATTGCAAATCTTCATGCGATTTTATATTATTTTATGCTTACCTAAATACCTAGACTTTTTTTTCTATGATTCATGGCAGGCTCTACTTGCCTAAATTCCTTTCCTCTATTTGTCTTCAAAGTGATTATGAATTTCTTTCACAAAAGTCCGTGCCAACAACAGAAACACTCAGCTCTCCTCAGTTTTCTTTTGTCATTATTTCAGAAATGTTTCACTATTTTAACAACAGTAAACACCTGTGAACTGCCTCAATTTTGTTTGGTTCTGCAATTTCAAAATTTCTAGTTCCTTTTTAATGCCCTATTTCAACAGATTAACCTTTAAAATACTGGAGCAAGGAAAATGCAATGAACAAAAAGAATAAATTTTATTTTATCACTGGGGAAACTGGGGCAAACAAATAGTTTCATGATTAAATGAAGAATCAAGCTCAGAACCCTTTACATCGAGGTCCATGTGAAAGAAGATGAATGACAGTGGTGTTGGACAGACACTCATGGCAGAGTGTTTGTTAGAAAGAAAAAAAAAATTTATTGGGATCCTGGCATGGTGCTCACGTATGGAATCAAAACATCCTAATGGGACATGGGACAGGCAGTCGGTGTTTGGTGGTGATGGAAGTCTGCGGCTAGGGTCCTCGCAGAAGTAACTTCAGTTAGACTTGGAGAGACTCCTCAAATCACCATTTTGCTAAATCTGTATAATCCAGCTGGTAACAGTGCTATGTGACTGTCCTGGTTTCGGCTGGGATAGAGTTAATTTTCTTCCTAGCAGCAGGCACAGTGCTGTGTTTTGGATTTAGTAGGAGAAGAATGTTGATAACACGCTGATGGTTTAGTTGTTGCTCAGCACTGCTTATGCCAGTCAAGGACTTTTCAGCTTCCCAGGCTCTGCCAGGTGCACAAGAAGCTGGGAGGAGGCACAGCCAGAATAGTTGATCCAAACTGCCCAAAGGGCTACTCCATACCATATGGCGTCATGGTCAGTATAGAAACTGGGGGGGGTTGGCCGGGAGAGAGGCTGGGGGGGGTTGGCCGGGGAGCAGCAATCGCTGCTCCGGAACTGGCTGGGTATCGGTTGGCGGGTGGAGAGCAATTGCATTGGGCATCACTTCCTTTGGGTATTATTATTATTATTATTTTGTTACTATTACAATTACTATTTTACTTTATTTCAATTATTAAACTGTTCTTATCTCAGCCCAGGAGTGGGTTTTTTCACTCTTACTCCTCCAATTCTCTCCCCCATCCCATCGGGGTAGGGCGAGTGAGCGAGCGGCTGCGTGGTGCTTGGTTGCTGGCTGGGGGTAAAACAACAAACAGCCGCGTGGTGCTTGGTTGCTGGCTGGGGCTAAACCACAACAGTGCCCTCCCCAGCATCTGTGTAATTCATTATTATTGATTCACCTCAACTACATACAAAGTATCTTAGATATCTTAAATCCATACAAAAGACTGCCCTATGCAGTCATTTCTGCAGGAACAGTTTCTAGCGACCATTTGCAAAAGTCGGTCTGGACGCTGGACTAGACGCAGCAGAGGCAACAGCAGAACTGTCCCACATTCCTACCCGGAGGGTTCCTGTAACCATCAGTCCAATACTTCATTGGGAAGGTACAGTCAATTACCCAGTTTCAAACTGGTCCACTGTCTCAAGCCACTGCATTATTGCATCCAAGGAGCTGCCTGGCCAGGGAGCTCCTGGACCACTCAGAGATGGAGCAATGTAAGCGCACAGGGTGTCCGTACAGGGCACAGCCCTGGTACCCAGCTGCACCACGACTGTAACTAAACAGCAGACTTGATTTTCGTACTTGTCAGTCAGTCATAACTTGAAGTCCCATAGCGATGGTAAACATCCTGTGTTCACCTGAGCCTTGATATGCTGGGGGTAAAACATTTAAATACATGAAGGACTCTCAAACTGTGGCACCTGAGCCTGACATTCCCATCACTTCACAAACATTTTTTAAGAACACAGTGGACAATCGCTAACGTCTGAGAGCTGGTGCGTGCTCATTATACTTGGTGCCCGATATTAAACCCTATCTTAGGTTAGGATTTACACTGCCTCTTCATGAAAACTATTATGCCAATGTTTGCTTAACTGATTTGCTGAATAACAGCTTTAAAGTGGGTAAAAACTATTTCAGTTAAGACACTCATTTACAAAACTTAGGCACAATGGATTTACGCTGCCAAGAATTTACATAAAAAATAGTAACTACATTTTTCGCTGCCAAGAATTTACATAAAGAATAGCAATTACTTCTTGCCTTGGTGGTTTTTGGTTTGTTGGTTTTTTTTTTTTTTTTTTTTTTTTTTTTTTTTTGGAAAATAGGATACTTTATAAAATATCCTCTTTTGCACCTACCATTAAGTATGTAAACATCTTCTGGAGTTCTAGTAGAGTGGTCTTGTGTTTCATATCTTCTGAATACTAAAAGCAATTAATAAAAGATGACTTTATCTTTTTGCTTATAACTTTCCAAAAACAGCCCTTAAAAAGATAAAACAATCATCTTTTTAAATAAAAACCCAACCACTTTATTACAGACAATTGTGTACAAGATGACTGTGTACAAGAACACGCAATACGCTATTTTACACTTACATATAAAGCACTACCTACTCATTTTTTGGCATGTCAACATTAAAGCTAAGTCAAAAAATCCCTCTACTTTCTAAAAATTTACTGCAGCTAGGAGCTTTTGGGAAGGTATTACAAAAAACTGTAGTAATTTTGGAATATTTTTTTTTCAATTCATAGGTGGTATGGGAGTTCTGATCAACGCTCTATGTAATGCAGTTCACGTGCAGACCAGAAGCTTCTCTCTTTTGTATTATTTTTTATTTGTATTTATAAATGGCTAATTCTAGATGAAGTTAAGTGACAACTACCGATAACTTAATGATAACAAAAAATGATGAGGTCATTGCCAATTAGGGTGTTTCACATAGTATATATGCCCTGCTAATGTCAGGGACCAAAATGAAGCTTTCACTTTTACAATAAATAGCTAGAAGTAATAATATTATATTTCTGAAAGTTAATTAACATATAATAATTTACAGGACTTGCTGTACTTCTGGTAGCATAAGATACATGCTCTGGGACTTCATAAACATTCAAGAAGAATGACATTTATTCTAACAAAATGACAACTTAGGAGTTAGGAAACAACAGACAATTCACATCAAACCGAACTTGAATAAATCTAGTGATAGCAACAGAAATGCAAGTTTGAGAACATGTATTATTACAATGCCACCTTAAGAACCTACCACATTACAAATAAGTTTTTAAAAAAAAAAAAACAAACTCTCTTCACTTTAGACATCAGCAAAAGAATCCAACTGAACAAAAAGCAAACTAAAGTCCTGAAGAAATATTCTTTATCAAGAAATAAGTCTTAAAAGTAAGTCTATACTTTTATCAGCATTTGTACTGATTCTAAATTTAAATGTCTACAAAAATCTACACAAGGAACGCAAGACCCCAAAGCGTACCTTTGCAGTAAAGATTGCTTGTCTGGCCTCTGGTATCATGTACAGTTGCTGAATAGTGGACGCCAAGTAACACGTTGCTCCAAGATTAGTTAGACCCACAAACCTACATTCAGCGCGAACATCATCATGTGGCCAATAATCCCACTTGTAAGGTGCATGGGAAGCTGTAAAAACCAAGAATCACACATGCAGAAAAGAAATCAATTCAAAGCACAACTTAATAAGACATAAATACAATTAAAAACTTTATGCTTACATTAGTAAAACACATCCTGTTTATGCTTTCTACATTTACAGACACGAGCCAGACTGTACCCGCTCTTTAAGAAAATGCACTATAGGTACCTCAGGAAAATCACTCGATAGAGCAGCGAGCCTTTCTAGACGCCACACTACTTTGGGCTGCAAGTGATTTGTTGTGCTTTCCAAAGCGTTGTTCATGGCAAGCATCATCTCTTACACTTGTTCTAGTGGTAGTATTACACCTAGTAAGGGGTTTCCAGGCTCTGCCTTTAAACTGAAGCTTGGTAAAACCACATCAGGCATCATCAAGAGCATACATAAGTTCTAAATGTTGGCTGCAATGCATTTTTTTATACCTACAATACAAGCCAACCACAGCGCTCTCACAACACTTGCACTGCCTAAACCACTGAGAATGTACTTATAACTGATAACATACAACATTTACAAGCTCCCCAAAGTACACCAGTCACTCCCCCAGCACAAAAATTACTCTCAATTTCTACTACCCATTCCCACGCACCCCTATGTCACACCAAAAGAAAGCAAAGCAGTCTCTGCACCCAGAGACTCAAGTTTGTTCACGTAACAAAACGCAGATTTGTTATCAGAGATAACCACACATGAAGCGAGACCTTTCTTTTCAGAAGAGAAGTTGGATTCAGAATGACATCTACTGTAACGGATGCCAGACTAGCAAAAGATTTTTTTTGACCAGTACAAAAGATGGATAGATGCTTATCAGAGATAAAACACAAAAGTGCAGTGAAATGAAGTGCTTGGCTATACACAACCTTGAATAAACTTGGGAACAGTTTTTATAGGAAGAGAAAGAATGGTTTTTATTGTGCTCCAAAGCTATATATACCAAAGGAATCTGCAATCTACAAGAAAAATAGGGGTAAGCAAGAAGTGAATTGCCTAGAGAATCAGACTGAAAAGACATTTTCTTTTCCTCTAAGTTTTCTATTCCTCTGTATTTCATACCAGATGTAGCAATCTGTTTCTTACACAGCATGGCACTAGACAAGCTAGGCAAGTCTGACAGACTCTTCTTAATAAGCCTTGTTCTGATATGGCTGCCAGGAAATCAGAAGAATGAGAAAGTTCTCCTCATCTGCCAGTCAAGAAGATGGTAACCAGACTAGACAAGCCATTTGTAAGTGATTAGTACTGCTTCCAGACACTGACAGGCTTCTCTTTCTAGCATCCCACGCAAGAGAATGAAATGGGGAATTAATCATTTGAGTTGCAGAGGCAAAGATGACACAAGCACTAAATTACAGAGGATCTAATCCAGTGTCCAAAGAAATTCACTGCAGCCTATCTTCCTTGGCATGCAAGAAGTTTGACACAAAAACTTGCAATGCATCTAGCTTTGCTGTTCATCCCCAAGGATATCACTCTCCAAAAAGGCAGAGTGTCTTACAAATAATTCAGCACCTCTATTGGAGTATATGTTCAGGTATGTAGAAAAAAAGTAAAAAAGTAGCCTGGATTTATTTTACAATCCACAACAGCTACGTGGGTTCTAGATTTAAACTTTAAATCCTTAATTATTTTGTCAAAGATTAAAGGCTCATTAAGGATTCTTCTCAATTCATACTACCAGCTATAAATTCAGGAAACTATTTGGCACCCTCTGAACAGATCTTCACATCTTCAGAGACCAGACCCACAAGACGTTCTGTTGCACAACAAATAATTGTTGTAATCTTCATTTTGGCATTGGCATCAAAACAACTATTAGCCCTGCAGC